CCTATTTCCCAAAGTTGAAAGCTGTTTTGACTGGAAATAAAATAAATAATTGGTGGTCTCTGACTTTTGCACAGCACTGTATGTCAGCTAAGCTGTTCAGCCTGGCCAGCACCTCCATATCAGCCATACGTTTTGTCTTCTTACTTAAATCATGGGCTCTGGGCCTTTCATCTGACAAACTTTGCAGACTGAAAATCTTCTATAAGTGACATTCTACCAATGTGTTTTTGCTGTACAGTACAGGGAAGTGACAGCTACAATATAATGCCTCATTCAGCTCTTCGATCTTCAAATTGCTGGCAGTTTATGGAAAGAAACAACGCATGTCAACTGTCTGCTTCACATGTCTGAATGTTCTTAGCGATTCCCTTTTAACTAGGTTAAAGGAAGCTGTCCGAGCCAGCTTATTTAAGCCCGTCAAGCCGAAACTTTGCAATTAAAGCTTGATCCCCTCTTGCTGCCAGCTTCCTCTGGGTTAGATTAATCAGTGGTCGTGGGCACGGCTCCACCGTGTCGTCTGGAGCAGCTCTTAAAGTGGAGAGGGCTGAGAGACTTGATAACACAGCTGCCGCAGAACTGACGTGGATGAGACCACGTGGCAATCCCCCCCACCACGCTATTCCTCAGCTCATGTCCATCCTGACACAACTCTGCTAGGCCAAGACTTGATTGCGGTCACGTTGCCTGAAGACGATTCAATTCAGCCCTGATCCCATTCAAGCTAAAGGTGCTTGGCTCCAGCTTTCTCTATAATGCACCTTCATTTTTAATCTGAGACAAATAAGAGAATATAAAATCCCTTTAACCTCATGCCTTTGCACTGAATGCAAAATCAATGCTCTAAATGGCTTCCACTCATAGTTCGTATAATATCTGACATTCGTATTTGGATTAGATGGATTAGAACATATTCTTCGTGGACAATTACTTTAGTCAATACAAAACTGGCTAACATTTCACAAACTGCCAATACGATGCACTACTGAGTGCCTGCATTTTCATCAGGGCGGTCAACCTTACCGTGGAAAACAGGCTGCAACGATTGTAGAAGTTGACAAAGTCAGTCGCTGTATAGCTAAAGGAGAATTCCAATGTTTCAAAAATTTCTGCTTATTTAAATGATTGAGATGTTAAAAAAAAGTCAGCCTGAGTGTTTGATGTGAAATGCTCCATTTTAGAAAAACACACTGAGTCAGAATTGTTCACAGTGGTGGTGAAAGGAACAAGACGTCCAAGACGCACTTACTGTGTCTCAAAAAGCTTCCTCACAGAAAGTTATTACACTAAATTGTTCTGAATATGTTACCTGATGTTTGAGACGATAATTGATGATAATGATAGTTTTGAGAAAATGTAGTTTTCCTAATATATATATATATATATATATATATATATATATATATATATATATATATGTATATATATATACAACCCCATTTCCAAAAAAGGTGGGATACTGTGTAGAATGTAAATAAAAATAGGATGCAATGATATGCAAATCATATAAACCATATTTTTAAAGGAAAATAGTATGAAGACAACAAATCAAATGTTGAAACTGAAAAATTTCATTGTTTTTTGAAAAATATATGCCCATTTTGAATTTGATGCCAATAAGACATTCCAAAAAAAGTTGGGATAGGGGCAAATTTGACGCTGGTTTGACGCTGTCTTGCTGAGATAAGTAAGGCCTTCCCTGAAAAAGACGTTGTCTGGATGGCAGCATATGTTGCCAAAACCTGTGAATATTGTTCAGCATTGATGGTGCTTTCACAGATGTGTAAGTCACCCATGCCATGTGCACTAATGCCCCCCCATACCATCATGAATACTGACTTTTAAACTGTGCACTGATAACAAGCTGAGTGGTTTTTAGCCCGGAGGACACAGTGTCTATAATTTCCAAAAAGAATTTCAAATGTTGATTCGTCGGACCACAGGACATTTTTCCACTTCCACTCAGTCCATTTTAAATGGGCTGAGGCCCAGAGAAGGTGGCAACATTCCTGGATCATGTTTATATGCGGTTTCTTATTTGCATTTTAGAGTTTTAACTTGCATTTGATGCAGCGAGAAGCTGTTTTCACAGACAGTGGTTTTCAGAAGTTGTCCTGAGCCCCTGCAGTGATTTCCACTACAGTATCATATCTGTTTTTAATGCAGTGCCGCCTGAGGGCCCAAAGATCACGGGCAGCAAATAATGGTTTTTAGGCCTCGTCCCTTGCATACAGAGATTTCTCCAGATTCTCTGAATCTTTTAATGAGATTACCATAAATGATGAAAAGCAAAATTTCTTTGCTGTTTACATTGAGAAACATTATTTTTGAATTGTTGCACTATTTGCTTGTGCAGTCTGAAAGACTCAGCCTCTCTGATATTCTCTTTTTATATTCAATCATGGTACTGACCTGTTGCCAATAGCCACCAAATGTTTTTTTTGTAGCATTACACAACTTTTCCAGCCTTTTGTTACCCCCGTCCCAACTTTTTTGAAACGTGTTGTTGGCATCAAATTCAAAAAGGGCAAATATTTTTCAAAAAATAATAAAATTTCTCACTTTCAAAATTTTATATTTTGTCTTTGTACTATTTTCAATGAAATATAGGGTTTAAATGATTGCATGTTTTTATTTACATTTTGCACAGCGTGCCAACATGTTTGGAAATGGGGTTGTATATACATGTATGTGCATGTTGTGTGTGGAGGAGGGGGCATGGTCAAGCGTTACATGCAGGCTGAGTAGCTGATAAGATTCACCTGGGTGTTGTTTCTGCCAGCCTACTTAAAGCCATGTCTTTTCTCAGAAGGTGACAAAGCCCAGAGAGAGAAGGAGATCGGTGAAGATACAAAAGACAGAAAAAGACCCCATGAGTGTGCTCTGTAAATTTGTATGCTGGCTGAAAAGCTGAGTTATTTGTGTTGTTGTGAGAATAAAACAAAAGAAAGCTCTATGTCTCCACACCCTGCTCCCAGTGTCCTCACTCCTCACAGCCTCCCAAAGATCATCACAAAATGTAAAATCAGAAGACATGTGTGTAACTTTTGCACTGAATTGCATTTGCATTATAGTTGTCATAACATTACGGTCGATCTATTGCCACCACTGTAAAGAAATTCCAGTCAGTAAGTGTTTCTAGAATATATCATTCCGCATCTAACCACTCAGTCTCTATAAACCATTGATGTATGCAGTTCTATAATGCTCTGTAATGTGTATGTGATACACGTGGCCATTGCAAGAAACTGCAGTATACCACAGGAAGTGTAGGGACAGTGGTGAACCATGACTAATAGAGCTAGGACTTCAATTCAAGCCATAAATGTTAAAATGTGGTCAAAATATGATTGCACCTCTGCAATAACGCTAAGTCCTGCAAGTGTATCTATGGGATACTAGTAGTTTGTTAGCACTAACGGTGATTCGCATGAACATTTTTTGAATGTTCTAGGTTAAAACAACATTTAAAGCGTATGAAAGGCATTCTATGTTTTACTTGTTAGCACATATTTTACCTTGTTGACATTTCAAGGTGACTTTTACGGTAGAGTATCTCTGGTGGAGCTGTTGCCACTGTTTTCCATTTCTAACAACTTAATGATTTGGCTGCTGCGTGTTTTCACAGTCTATATTTGACATATCTAGGATGGAGGCCTGGATTGATATTTTTTCTCAAAACATTCTTCCTGCCTATTGGAAATCAAAACATGATTTGTTGATTCATCTGTCAATTCATAATAATGATGATAGTTAATCTAACGTTTTAGGCCTTTTTTTTTCGGCTCTTAAAACCCAAACTAATTGAAGAGCTCACTTAGCTACATCAGCCTAGATACCACAGAGGAAAACCCTTCTTGAACGGCCAATTTTCTGCATGGTGTTTCAGGAATTTGACCCTTTTCGATTTTGTCTTTAATAATGTATGAAGAGTAGTACTGTGATATTGACAGACTTTACATACATAAAATGCATGTACTTTTAGTTCCCAGAAATCATTAGGCCTTCTCTGAAGGCCTAGAAGGCCCTGAGGGTTCCCCTCTGGTAGGGCATGATCCTATTGTTTGATGCACCACAACAGAAGAAATAATTCAATGGAGAAATTCCTCTTTGAATTATGGTGGTATAGTGTTGAAGTGAAAGTGAGAGGACACTGCAAAAAGCATGGCTAGTCTGCTATTCTAGTCAACTGTAAATCTATGTGAATGAGTGTCTTAGTCCATCTAAGCTTAGCACAGTTAAAATGTAGTCCAGGCCAACATGGGCCAGACTGTTCAATATATATTTGGACATGTAAATGCTGAGATCACTTAGTGGAAGAGGCATTCCTTAAGTCAAACATTTTGTCATAAATGGACATCCATGGATATTTAAGTGGACGGGGAAAGGAACACTGAAAAAAAAGCAGGAAACTTATATATGTGGATAAACTACTTGAAGTATGTCGTGAAGAGGGTGTTTACCCAGACTATGTTGGCGTGCATATAAACAGGATTATGCATAGTCTAGTCTTTTATATAGTTCTTAAAAGCTTCTTTGTTTGGGCCGGCTTCCTGGAATAACTAAGAGCTTAGTCAGACTATTGTGTGCATCCAGAGCCAATAGATTAATGCATTCTAGGAACAATAATTAGTCATAGCATCAAGCAAAAAAAGTTGACACAATGCTTGTGGCCGAATCCTGTATCCAAATGAAAGCACTTGTCATGCGTTGCTTTGCAAGACCTACCACATGAACTCTGAAAGTGTCTCCTCAGAATGCACAATTCCGAGCAACCGAAAACTCAATCATAAAAAAATAGAAAGGATAGAGAAAAGAGCAAACAAAAACAAACCTCTCATTGCAGACCTTTTGACTGACTCTCAAGTGCAAGCTTTTGAACTGCTTAGCCAGCCCAAAAAATACTCTATTTATTCCTCCAGAAATCTGCGGCTTAGTTCAAACAGTAAACCAAATGAAGCTATAAAATGCTAGAGCAGAAGTGAAACAGGTAAGTGGTTTACCTTCCCAACATACTGCGGATCAGTCCCCATATACTCCTCCAGCACGAAGAACTGGTTCCAGACCCAACCTCGTTTGACTCGATGAAGGCCAGACAAGCCATGTCTCCTCTGGTCCCTCAAACCCCTGTGGTGCTCTTTCCCCAACTTGCTTTGCGCTGAAGAGTGCATGGGTGAAACAAAGCTTTTGTCCAAGAGACACCACAGAATCAGCAGCAAGCAGTTTCCCATTAGCATTGGAAAAACTTAAGCGTAGAACTTCAGCGGGAGAATCCGTCTCTGAATGCTAAGCGACCGGGAACGCCGGCCGCGGACGAAAACCAAATCCGTGATGGATTAGTCCACAGCACCTTGATGACATTGATGAACTAACATCCAGGGTGGCTTGGATTTTCGGTTTTCCACCTGTAGGAGAGAGCGGAGAACATTCGTTCATATTCACATCAGAGCCTAGATGATCCATTAGGGTTGTCTCTGTGTATGTGGAGAATAAAAAGGCTTAGCCTCTCTGTACACTTCCTAGATAGCTTCTGTCTTTGGTGTGGTACAGCGATTCCTTTGTCCCCTCAACCATGATGTAATCTTACTTGAAGGATTTCACGGATCACGGTGCAAGGAGAAGGAAATGTGAGCAAACTGGCCCTTGTGAGTATAGTTAGCACATTAGCACTTTCACATTGGTAGGTTCAAGAAACAGGCATGCAGAAATAAAAATCTCTAAAATGTTGGGACAGTATGTGAAATGCAAATTAAAACAGAAGGCAGTGATTTGTAAGTTCAACAAAATCAGTCCAAATGTTTTATCTTATTAATTTCATTTCAATTTCATTGTCTTTTGCCTGCAACACTTTCCAAAAAAAAGTTGGGATGGGGACAATCTAAGACTGGGAACATGAAATGTTCAGAAATATATCTTGAGCAGGTCATGCAATCATTTTCAGGTATAAATGAGCATCCAGGAAAGGCCTAGTCCTGCAAGGATGGGGCAACGCTCTCCACTTTGCCAAAAATGCATGAGCAGATACACTGTAAAAAATAAATAAATACATAGAAAATCCATTAAAAAGAAAAATGTCTTGGCAGCACATTGGTACAAGTTAACAGACAATTCTGTCACTCTTGTCAGCCATTATTGACAACCCACAGATTTAGCGTATTGTTGTTAACAATGTGCCAATAACTTCAGCTAATGTTTTCAATACTGCACCCACATGTCTAAGTTAATACTGTATTTTTTGCCTTTACTAAACCTAACTGTACCTAACATGGTAAAAAATAAAAACTCTTTCTCATTTTGAAGGTGCAGTTTTGTCCTTTAAGCATGGAAAAATCCTGTTTAAAATCACGGAAGAATAACCTGCAGAAAAGACAGAGTATAGTGTGCAGAAAACCACAACTGAATGCCCATAACTATGAATTCCTCGGACAGCAGAGCATGATTCTGTGATGGGCATCACCACAGGAGTTCTGGAATTCATCTTTAAGTCATTGTCGATAAACACAGACCATTGCTGCATCCATAAATGCAATATGAAATGACTTCTCTGGATATTTGCTGAAATTTACTGATGCACAGTAGAAATGTGTACCGTGGTCTGATAAGTTAAGCTTTCATGTTATGTGTGGAAATAATTGATGTCTCATTCATCAGGCCAAAAAAGAAAAGAAGCATTCAGATTGTTACCAGTGTAAAGTTCAAATGCCTGCCTGTCATGGTATGGGGGCGTATGAATGCATATGGTATGGATGACTTGTACATCTGTGAAGGCACCATTAATGCTAAAATAATGTGCCACGTTATATTTATAAGTATTTTCTATGTATTATACTGTATTAGCAAGCAAATACACCATACAAAAAAAAATAGATGTCAATACTGAATCACTTACTAACACATGTTGAACAGAATTTACTCATCACTTTCTGTTTTTATTAACATTTTCCAGACTATCCCAGCTTTTTTTTTTTTGGCAGTGAGATTTATAGAAGAGGAAATCTGGCAAATCTAAAGAAATAAGGTTTTTTGGCAGGCCTCCAAAAGTGTGTTAGAAGTACTATGTAATGGCCATTTGCAGTGCATTAGTCTCGAAAATGAGGTGGTCCCGCTTGAGCTGCAAAGTTGTTTATGGACTGACTATGCAGATGGTCTATCTCGAGCAGCTAAAAGCCAGTCCAGATGCTCAGGGTCAGGAAGCAGATAACTCTAACAGTCTGGATGGGGAAAAAAATCTGCATAATTAGGTACAAGAAAAGTTCTCGGCCCTTTGGTGTAACAACAAAAAAAAAATAATAAATAACAAAGGAATGAAGCCATACTTGAGGAAATGAGCTTCTAAATTAAAATGTGAAAATGCAGCACTGCTGCCTATGAAGAACGTTAGTGGTAATTAATTGTATTCATGCAGTAGCCCTTCTAAAGTAGAGTACTGCTTAGAATCCAGCACAACATACACCGATCAGGCATAACATTATGACCACCTCCTTGTTTCTATGCTTATTGTCCATTTTATCAGCTCCACTTACTATATAGGTGCACTTTGTAGTTCTACAGTTACAGACTGTAGTTCATCTGTTTCTCTGCATACTTTGTTAGCCCCCTTTTACCCTGTTCTTCAGTGGTCAGGACCCCCATGGACCCTCACAGAGCAGGTATTATTTGGGTGGTGGATCATTCTCAGCACTGCAGTAACACTGACGTGGTGGTGGTATGTTAGTGTGTGTTGTGCTGGTCTGAGTGAATCAGACACAGCAGTGCTGCTGGAGTTTTTAAACACTGTGTCCACTCACTGTCCACTCTATTAGACACTCCTACCTTGTCAGTCCACCTTGTAGATGTAAAGTCAGAGACGATAGCTCATCTGCAGCTGCACAGTTTGTGTTGGTCATCCTCTAGTCCTTCATCAGTGGTCACAGGACGCTGCCCACAGGACGCTGCCCACAGGACGCTGTTGGCTGGATATTTTTGGTTAATGGACGATTCTCAGTCCAGCAGTGACACTGAGGTGTTTAAAAACTGCCTTTTGGGAAGGTTGCTTATGCAACACTATTTGGAGTACCTCTCTCAGAAATGCCAATGTTGCTAATAAATAAAAGCTAATGAGGACTAGCTAGGTGATATTAGCGCGTTAGGCGACGTATTCCTTTCAGAGCTAGTTTAAGCCAGTGAGAAATCTCCTTTGCGAAAAATCCATCTAGGGAAAGCGTGCTAGATAGCTCTTAGGAAAACGTGTCATGTTAATTGCTAGACAGCCTCATATAGCGAGTGATGACAGTGCCCCGGGGGAGTCGGCGTGAGCCGTTCCAAAGCAGTGACAGGTCTCTTCTAGACAGGACACTGCGTCTGTGACTGTATTCTCCACGGGAAACCTCAGCTTTTCTCTCAAGACGTTGCACTTTCGAAGACTTCAAGAAGCAGCAAATCCCAGGGGGATGCTCTCGTATCCCGACAGCTGATTGTATGAAGGCTCTCCAAATGCTAGCATGCTAGAAGCTAAACTTTCTGCATTTTGAATCTGATACATGGTATTAGCCTCACATTGAGTTCATGAGTCAACACGGAATGATGCAGATTATTCTGACAGCTAAAAAAAAACTGTAACGTGCCTGATTTCATGAGCTTTTTTTCTCTGAGCTAACAGTTTTCAGGGCTGATTTGTAAGAGGTGTACAAAGTCCGTTGTCATTCTGGGAAGCAAACAAGAGTAAACTGCCGGAGGGCTTCATGCATTTACAGTCTGGCCCAGTTACTGGGCGAAGACGTTTATTGCTGAATAAACATTAGACTTTTCAGTAAGCCCTCAGCCAGCGGAATCACTGAACCTGCACTGTCACATTCGGTTAGAGAAAAAGCGAGGCTGCTGTTAGCGGAAGTTAGAGGCTAAGCAGAAACTTAAGAGGTAAGCAAAAGGAATCTCAAAAGAGTGGAACTGACAGCACACTACACTACGCTGCCCAACAACAAACAAAATGTTTGGTCAGATTACAACAAACGCTCGCTTTTTCCCTTTTTAGCTGTTGAACATTGCCAATTCTCTCCAGAGGAGAAGCTACAGTGTGCTACGTACTTTGGCTTGGCAGGAAAGATTCACTGGGTCATGCTGCTTTGAGAACATTGGGATAAAATATGCTGCTTTAGTGTAAGATAGCAAAAAAGAAAAGGAATCACATAATTAAATCTCAAATTTCATTCAGCAGCGTAAAGCTTCCAGTGTCATAGCTGCGATTAAAGTGGATTCCAATTACAAGCCAAGGAAGCTCTATAAAGTTCATCCAAATTCAGAGCCTATGGATTTTAGGCACAGGGATTATTGTACAGAGAGTGGGCCGTATCATGCTGCCTTATGGGCAACAGTTTGATCATAAGAATAGTCAAATTATACATGCGTCAGCCTCCAAAAAATAACCGGCATTTTTATCACATCAAAAGAGATTAAGGCGTAGTCATTTTGGAATTCATGCAGCGTCCACAAAAATAGTGGAAGAATAAATACATTATGCTCTCGATGCCGTGATTCATATTACTAACACTTCACCACATTGGTATCTGCCTGTCGTGCTCTGTTGCTCTCTTTTCTGTGTGAGTGATTGCAGGGTCCAGCAGCAATAGTGTCTACTCAGTCCGGGGACAGGAAAGATGCATGGGCTGTTTTGTTTCTTGCTTCAGTGGCATCATTTTCTGCTGTGTTCCTTTGTAGTTGGAAATCTTGACTTGGATGGCGTAAGATTAGCTGGATTAGATTCAGGCTGTACAAGCATCTGCTAAGAATTTAGCTCTGCAAAAATGCGGTGACCCATTATTTAAGGTATAATTCTATCGTAGGTATAATTTTCTTGAAGGAGACGCGCAATGATCTTATAATTTGCAGTTAGAATTGTACCTGCTGTGGTGTTTAGGAAGCATCTACATTCAGAGGCAGTGATATCTTCGTGATTTAGTCAGATTTTTGATATAAATGGCCTTAAATATGCGGTCTATGTTTTGGTCATAGTATATTGATTCATTTTAGACTATTTTACTATGACTTAAATGGCCAACACACACACATACACACACACACACACACACACACACACACACACACACACACACACACACACACATACACACATACACACACACACACACACACACACACATACACACACAAACACACACTGATACTTGATAACAACACTCTCAAAACTCTGGTTGTTCAAGGGTTCTTTAGTAAAGAAAATGGTTCTATAAAGAACCATGAAAACCCAATCCTTTTGCATGATCA